CTCCTTTCCTGCTCCTCTGCCTCTGCTTTGGTTCTGCTTTGTTGGCCCCAGTTCTGACTGTCCTGGGTGGGACGTCCCAGGGGAGCAGGTGTTCCCCGCCAACCGGTCTCCAGGTAAACATGAACACACACACACAAGCCAGTGAGCAGAACACCCACACGCAGCAGCAGTCCCCAGGTGAGTCTCTCTCTCCCCATGTCCCTCTACTCTGTTGTCCTTTCTCTCCCCTCAGTCCATTTCTTCTACTTCAAGTTTAGTTTTTCTCTTTGCTGTTTCTATCCCATTCTTCCTGTGATTCTTCTTAAAGAGTTATTTTCTCCTCTCGTCCAGCTTCCCTTCAGGTCCAAAGTCCTAACACAGAGCAGCAAGTTAATGAAATACAAACATGTCAATGAAACCTCTGCACATGAGTTATCCCACATGTGTGAGCCTGCATCTTAACCTGAATTTGAGCATGCTAAAGTTCTGTCATGAGGCTCTGCAAACAGATTCAAAAGTACAATGTGTGCCGCCCTCTTTAAAAACTTTAGGAACTCCCTCTCACACTCTCAAGTCCCCCTTTTCCCAAACACACACACGCCCCTTTAATTTTCTTTCTGTCAGGCTCATATCACACACACGCACCCCTCTGTTGCTCTGCCCCCTCACCCCCCCCCAGACTCTCGGGTTACTGTGCAACTCTAGATATGGGCAGGGCCCTCTCAGCAGCTGCGAACAAGTTGGTGCTCTCTCCAATCACAACAGCTTTGCCTGGATTTGTACGCTTTTGTTTTGGCCATGAAAATGCATTATGGAAAAAGACATCTGATGTGTTAAGCTTCTCAGTTATTTTCCCTATTCTATTTCCAAAGACATGTTATTACAAGGGTCATTTTCTAACCATGTTCCACTTTAAGCTGGTGGCAGTTTCTTATTCACCATACTAAAGAAATTGCAATCTTTATATAGTGCGTAGTGCCAAACTGACATTTTGTGTGTAGTGCCAAACTGACATTTTGTGTTACTGGCAAACTCTGGCAACTTTCTGAAACTTCTGAGTTTAGTTTTCTTTGGCATTGATTTTTTTTTTAAAAAGAATTTGCAAGCCAACGCCGGTCTCGGTATCTTCTTAAGTTATTTAATTAACTTTTTCATAGATTTCTCTTCAAAGCCCCCCTAATCTGCCATTCTTTTTAAAGCAATTGGTAATCAGAGCTCCTTCTTGGGGGTTGTATATTAAATCTGTTATTGATATCTTCGACTAAAAAAGGACTATTTTTGGCTCACAACATTTTGATTGGAGGCAAATTGGGATTTGGCTGTCTTCAGAGAGCTTAAACTAAGAAATTAAATGCAGGATAATGATAAGGCTGCTTTTTTTCCTGATGTTTAGAATCAATTATAAACTTTTCGTTTGGATAATGGCTTATAATTAGCTCTCTACTGCCCTCTTTGGAGTATAAATAATACTTTCACTGCCTCTATTAGTAGAGCATATGCATTAGATGTTAATGAAAGATTCCAACTCAATTTCGTATGATCTTGTTTTTCAACAATTTACTTACTAAAGGCTATAAACATACATGTAAACGACATAGATTTGTAGTAACATTTGATTGGAGATAGTCATATCGACAGTGAAATAAGGTTTATTTCAGGGACAGTGGCACAATTAGGCTCTGCTTGTATTCATGCAAGTTACATATAACATGTTTAAAATACACAACGTTTAAAGACACTAGAAGAATAAAGTGATACATTTATTTTAAAACCAGTTTTGTTAAATCTGCTTCAAATCTCTTTACATCCCTTTAGCAATCAATGAAATCAATGCTCTCACAAAAAGAGAAATACATACCTGTCAAATATTTTCTTGAAATGATTGTTGGCCTGCATGCCTGTCTACCTTACTCAGTTGACAGCTGCATCAACCTACAATATAGGGGTGTCCTGATTTCCATTTTCAATCTATTGAAATAAGCTTTCAATTACAGTCATTGGAACATAAAAGATAACATTTTCCTTGTGGTTAATATACCCTATGCTGAAACTCAAATTAATGACAAAAGAATCCATCAAGTGTAGTTCACAAAACTCAGACTTGCAACTATCCAGATCTCTACTGCCACCCTGTGGTTACACATGAACCCTCTTCACCTCCATATGGAACTGATTACAACCTGATGTGAGTCTGTGAATGCCTGAAGTGATTTGGTCAGATGTTAATTTAGCTGGTTACTGAAAGCAATGAGAGTATAAGAAAAGAATGCAGCCTGATAAACTGACTGAAAATTCATGCAGAAATGGTTACTTTAAGCACAACCATATCTGGGCTCTCGGTTTTTACACATGTACAACACAGTGGGTGGCAATGTTTGACTGAATGTGAGGACGGATTATGTCATGTGGCTACTCACAATAAAAAATCTATTGTATTCTAAAAAATGTTTAACAAAAGGACCTCAGAATATCGCACATGTATCATGCAAATGGTGAAAACATTTGTTTCCCAATTGATCATGGGAGCCTCTCTCAGTGTTGTAGTCAAGTCACCAATTCACGAGTCCAAGTCACCCTCGCCCCGAGTCACCACCCTTTGAGTCAGAGTCCAAGTCCGAGTCACCAAGGGAGAGTCGTAGTCGAGTCCGAGTCCAAGTCCGAGTCACCCAAGGAGTGTCCGAGTCGAGTCCGAGTCATCATTGCCTATGTTCGAGTCCGAGTCCAAGTCCGAGTCACCTAAGAAGAGTCCAAGTCAAGTCAGAGTCACAAGTCTTCATGTGTTAATCTTCGTGATATATGTTTTGCTTTTATCCTGTCATGTTATACTAATCTGTCTATTGAACTGCTGTGAAGCGAGTTTGGCTACAATTCTTGTAATAGGTGCTATTCTTTCACACACACATACGGGTATTGGGCCGAGCGCGACACCGTACTTCCGGTCTGCGCCGTTTTACGCGAGGTGCAAGCAGCCGTACACCGTCTAGGTATTGCTAAGCTTCCTGTACTGAATATCATAGTCTATTGCCTTAATCAATATCTAGTCAACTCTAAAATACCACATATATGCAATGGCATGATAATATTATTGTGACAAGTGGGGTATTCACCTGGTGTTTCCAGAAATTAGACGTAGATGCAGCCAAAATCGCCGACGGCCACTGTCGTTTTTCCATACATCTGCAGGCAGTCTGTAACAACCCACACAGCTCTAGTTTACGCTGGTAACGACCTAAAACACACCCCTCAAGTCCAGAGATGTAATCCGAAGACATGCAGTGATTTCTTCGGTCGTTAATTCAGAAAAAAAACCTACTGCGCTCTGCCTTGCTACGTTAGCTAGCTGTTTATATTAGCACCTCCATGAAAATGGCGCATTTATATATATTTATATGGCGCGTGTTGCATTGTGGGTAGCTCGTGACGTCACTGTGTGTGAAAGAATACAAATATAAAGCTTATTACTAATATTAATATTATTATTATTAGATATAAATAAACTATATTTAAAATGAGTTACCTTTTAGATAAGTGATTATATGTGTATGCCAATATTTTCCTATGGTAAGGTTTTCGTTTTGCACTTTTATTTTGATAGTAATAAGATCGGGACTCTTATTTTGAAGTAACTTTTGCCGGTTAAATCAGTTTACTGTTTAGCCCCAGAAAGCACATGGCTACTTAGCATGCAAAATGACGTCATTCTGCATGTTAAGTAGCCATGTGCTTTCGTGTTATCGGCTGAATCTTTATTTATTGATTAGATCACGTTACTCTGATGATAGTGTTCAAGACAGCCTATATGTCTGAACTCGATCCTTAGAGTGATGTGTTACGGAGCCTTCTTTTCAATATTGTTTCCACATAACGAGCATTTTGCGCTGCTCTTTTCCAATGTGGAAGCAGAATGTGTGAAAGCATACAGCACGATGCGAGGTGTGTCTCTCGACATCTTTAGACTGGAATAGCGGGGCCCAGTACGTGAACTCGCCTAGCAGGTGCACACGCCAGGATAGGACATCACACTCCAGAGAAAATTAGCTCGAGTCCGAGTCCGAGTCCAAGTCGGAGCGTCAATGTACGAGTCGAGTCCGAGTCATCGTGGGGTGGGGGGGGGAATTCACGAGTCCGAGTCCAAGTCAGCGTACGCGATAATTCACGAGTCCGAGTCCAAGTCATCCAGCGCGAGAATTCACGAGCCTATGGAAAGCCTCAAGTGCCACTATTCGCCCATTTTTCGCGCGTTTTATACGCGTCAAAAACGCGCGTTTATTTGATCAAATAAACGCGCGTTTTTTTAATATGATAATGAGCCCCACCTTCTGTTTTGCATAGCCAGTACATTTAAAGTGTGTGCAACCAATCAGTGAAGAGTTAAGCCAGACTAAAGCAATCTGTTGATGAAAAGTTCCTGTAACCTACCCCATTGTGAGATTTAGATAGAAAATAATCACAATAATTAAATCTAAATTAAACATTTACAGTAAATAATATAAAGTATAAACATATCTACAGTCACAATTTCATTAATGTTATTCATACTTTCTGTTGTGTAGTTTATTAATGTTCCCGTGCTTTCAGTTTCCATCCAGTAATATAATCAGTAGAGGAAAAGTGTGTGTGTGTACAAGATAGATATTAACTTTACTCCACAATTTCCTACCGTATTATTAAATAAGTCTGCACAGCTGAGGGGACACCTGTAACTCAATTCATGTGATTTTTGGGTGATTTATTCAATAAAAACCTCTGTATTTTCAGAGTTAATCAAATGACAGCCACATTGTTATCTAAAGTGTCTCAAACACGTTTAAGGACAGTCACAATTTCATTAATGTTATTCATACTTTCTGTTGTGTAGTTTATTAATGTTCCCGTACTTTCAGTTTCCATCCAGTAATATAATCAGTAGAGGAAAAGTGTGTGTGTGTACAAGATAGATATTAACTTTACTCCACAATTTCCTACCGTATTATTAAATAAGTCTGCACAGCTGAGGGGACACCTGTAACTCAATTCATGTAATTTTTGGGTGATTTATTCAATAAAAACCTCTGTATTTTCAGAGTTAATCAAATGACAGCCACATTGTTATCTAAAGTGTCTCAAACACGTTTAAGGAGTGCAATGCAACTGAAAGGTACACTAATAAAAGTAAAACGTTGTACCAACAAAAAAATATTAGAGTAATCAATCACACGAAATATTTTACATTGACTCAATTTCTTCAGATCAATCTGTATATTTTAACACCAGAGCACATTTATTTAAATGAAAAACAAGTTGTTCACACAACCAGCTTTGGCCTCTGAGGCAGCCATTACCTGATCTTAGACATGTTAATAAGTACCACAGTTAAAATGCGGTAATATGTGGGCCGCTTCCAAACATCAAACTCTTAGAAAAAAGACATGTCCTTATTATCCACTGCACACTTTTTTAAAGCAACACTGACAACGTGCGCCTGTGAGACATGTAATCTCTGAAAATGATTAGACATGCATAACTTCTACAGTGAAAATCGGTCATACTGTAAGTGCAACTTCTGAACACAACACTTTTTCGCAAATGTTTTACAATGCATAATTATTATAAAACCTTGGTTTTAGAAGCCTTACCATGTAACACTGGTAACTGTGAGTGAGTGCAACAAAGTGTCTACCAGCTGGGTTCTCAGTCTATTCACTTTTGGGCTCATCTTTTTCCCCTCCATCAGGACTTTTTGCACAACTTCAAAAGTGGATTGCAGTTATTTCTGATATCTTAAGTTCAGTCAGACAACTCACGTGTTCCTTTAACATGTTTATTAGAAGCAGCATATAGTTGAGTTTGGCGACTAGGCTCGGGCATCATCACTCCATAGATATACATAGCACGATGAGTGATGATCAAATAACTAACCCCCGAGCCTACAGGTGGAAGCTGGGGTGGTGGTGGGGCAGCGAGCAGCAGCGACGTAGAGGTATCTGCAGCAATAGCAGCAGCAAGCAATGCATGGAGAGAGATCTGGCAGGTTAAATAGAGCGGCATATTAAGGAGACTCTGTTTGGTTGGTTGTAGAGTGGCAAGGGGGCGTTATGTATGAATGCAGCATAAGTGCTCGAGTTGACTGCCTGAACTAGCTCGCAGGCTTCGCCCCATTTCAGTGCGTATATGAGCCCGAAGAGCATGGCAAAAGCTGTCGCAACCGAGGGCAAGCCGCTGAGGACCTCTGTTCCTTCGATGAGAACCTTGACGTCTTTGGGTCGATGAAGCTGATCCTCTTTCCCAGTGTCAAAGGCTTCCATTGTTGCCTGCTCCAGTTCTCCAGCCTCAGCGTCCTGCAGATCATGCAAAAAAAAGGGGAATGGATGAGGACCACAGAGTGTAGTTCAACAGGCCTGAGGCGTCAGTTCAGTCGGCCCAAGAGGAAAGCTCAGAAGGTCATCACAAATGACTATCTTTCTAACCAAGCAGTTATTTGCATGCAGTACAAATATGTTTTCTTTTATGAACAAACTTCTTGTGAGTGAGTGGGAGGTCTTACCTGGAATTCTTTGATGAGATGGTCAACAGGTTCACCCAGGTAGATCATTAGAGATTTGAGGACGCATTCTCTTCTGATGGCGATGTCCACAGTCTGAGTAAGAACAGAGATATATATATATAATAAATTAAATGCAAATAAAGGAGGATTCAGCCACTGATCCCACAGATAAAAAACTAATTCATAGATACCTCATCCAAAACCTGCAAGATCCCGGTGGTCTTCTGTTTCACAACTCCTCCCCTGCTCCTGATGACTTGAGTGTTTGTCCAACTGCACCAAGAACTTTGTCTCCAATGGAATTGTTGTTATGCGCATTAACTCAGCATTTACCTAGAAAATATAAGCAGCATAGAAAACAAAAAATACTAAGAATTTATAATACACATGTTTTTTATAAAGAGCCAATGGTTTGATTAAAAGTACTCCAAGTCAGCTTGTATGAATGTAACATTTAAATTAATTAATCCACATATTTATTGAAAACCACCACCAAATAAAGACACTAAGAGTAATAGATGTAAAGCTTATATTGTGATATATATTAAAAAATAAACGTCAACATATTTGCCTCGGCTGTCTATAGTTGTTAGTTAGTTGGGCCCTCAATTCTTCTCCACTACACGCTTACAATCAAGGGTTTCATCAAAATAATTACCTCTTCCATGTGAAAAAGTGCAGGCCACCGCTCCAAGAGGCCTTCAATGCTTGGCCTCCGATGCACTATTTCTTGTCTTCAGTATCCAAACGCCTTCGCCATCTTTTCTTTTATTGATTGCCGGTTGTTTCTTTTCTGTTGTTCAGCCAAAAGGGAAATTGTCTCTTGCTCCATGCTTTCTGGAGTCTCACCAATCGGCAAGGATGGAAAATGGTTGGCATCAGCTCGCCTGGCTCTCTTTAAAATTCTTCGCAGGGTAGGACTCTTGAGACTTGGTCTTCAACGAGTTCACAGCAAGCTCTGCAGATGATTTGAGCTTGGTGTCAGTCTAGATTGGTTCTTTGTGTACTCTGCATTTCCTCTCTGTAATTGACATTCTGTGTCATAGGAGAAGACCGGGATTGGAAACACTTTTGGCCACTGCTGTGTTCTTAATGATTCTGAGGAAGAGCCGCTAAGTAGTAGGGATGCACCGAATATTCGGCCACCGAAAATTATCGGCCGAAAATGGTTAAAAAGGCCCTTTCGGCCGAAAGGGTTTTAGCACCGAAAAAATATCACCGAATGTCAGAACAGACTTACGTTGGTAACCTAACGTGTTGTTGTGATGACGTAATAAAGACGCGGCGACCATGCTCGCGGCTGGCTCACAGGGGGGGGAACATTGACCTTTGTCATCGAGATTGCCCTGAGCCTTTAACAAATCGTATTAAATAATCTGATGACAGACTGTAAACAGAATAGCTGAAATTTTAACAAACTAAATAACTCAGTTACCTCTAATCATTAACCCATGTTTGTATAATGTAGTTAACTCCGTGTGTTGCTGCTAGCATACATAACACCTGACGTGGAAACGTTACTCGTGGATGGGGCTACAGAGCTGCTAGAAAGACGGTCGAACCCGGTACATTCCTCCGTCTGCATGCGGTGCACTTTTGCTAAATGTTTAGACAAATTGCTCGTGCTTACATGCTAAACTCTACTTATGGTAACAAGTATTCTCCACATCGAGACGGGTAAATTTAACCACACCTCGGAGCGCGTTCTCTCCGCCATCTCCGCAGTGTGCTCCGCTGCATGTAGCAGCTGCGTGTGTGTAAACTGCCCCGCCCCCTCGCACACAGACGGGGGAGAGAGATCTCGTCTGATCGAAAATACATCATAGACGCATTTGTTGTCTTTGCATATTAGAAACGAGTTGGCGACACTAAGACTGCGATATAATGTTTTTTAGCAATAATACATGACATATATAAATGTACTGTATGCATTCAAAAGTGCTGAATAAATGTTTTATGGACCCATAATAGTGATTATTATTTAAGTTACGTTTTGCCATAATCATGTCTATTTCCATAATCAGGTAGCTGAACAACATTGGTAAAAAATGTATACAATATATATATATATATATATATATATATATATATATATATATTTCTATTAATCATTTTCGGCCAACTGTTTCCTATTTTCGGTATCGGTTTCGGCCAAGAATTTCCCATTCGGTGCACCCCTACTAAGTAGTACTGTGTCATCTGTATTCACAGATCCAGAGGAGTCTTCACTGTACAGTCCACTTGTAGGGGTACTATTTAATGGTATCTCAACTGGGTACAAGACCACAGTTGTAGAATCGGGGTCTAATTCGACAACTTTGATAACTGTTAAATCTTTAATCGCATGTGTAGATGTAAGATTAACAAATGTGTTCCAAAAATCAGTGTCTTTATACTGTAGCCCAGGGGTGCCCAACCAGTCGATCGCGATCGACCGGTCGATCGCGGGGAGATTCCCAGTCGATCGCGAGATGTGTCTAAAAATAGAACAACAACATTCTGTTTTATCGTTAATGTCCTATAACATAATCTTCCCGTGCCAGAATAATGCACTTGAACGCATCAAAGCTTTGTGATTGGCCGGCGTGACCCCATGTGTCGGGGCGTGGCTGGTGAGCAGTGGGCACTATTTCGCTGACGTTGTCCGTGTCAACAGGAGTGACAGTCCGCACACACACAAGACCGCAATTATGGCAGAAGCAAAAAAGCCCAACATATATAATTTTCACTCCGAGTGGGAGGATGATTATTTGTGTATCTATTCCAATTCAAAGTCCATCTGTCTCATCTGCAATGCGAACGTGGCTTTATCGAAGAAGGGTAATTTAGGAGCGGCATTTCAAAACAGTGCACAAACGCTACGAGACGGAATTCCCTCCTAATTCTGCCCAACGCTCCCAAAAGGGGAGGAGCCTGAAAGGACAGCTAAATGCACAGCAGTCAATTTCCACCAGGCCCAACAACAAGAGCAAGGCTGCTACCATAGCATCTTATCGTGTCAGGCACGTTCTTGCGAAACACATGAAGTCTTTCAAAGACGGCGAAGTTGTGAAAGAAGCATTCCTGGAGGCTGCTGACGCGCTTTTGGGGGACAGTAAAAATAACAGTAGCATTTCAACAGGTTTTTGATATAATAAAAACTCAAGTTAGATACCGTTATTAATCAGCTGTAAGTTTTTGTTTGTTTGAACTTATTCATTACAATTATTGTAAACAATGGTATAAGAATGCAAACATTAAGATCTGTTCTGTTTAAATTGATTATAGTCTATTATCAATTCAGGTTAAGAAACTAGTGTTGCTTGCATCCTATTTTAAAAAAAGGCATTTATTTTTATACTCTACTAAAATGCAACAAAAAAAGGATTTGATTCTATTAATTTTGTCTTTTTTATTGCACTTTGGCAGCAGATTCCTGTGTAGCTTCAGATCTGAGTTGTCTTATTAGTAAGCCTCATTTATACTTTTGAAGCAACACTATTTTTATATAATGGCAAAGAAAGGGTTCAGAGTATTTTCTTTTTTCCCTGTGTCATATGTGGCAGCACTGTTCAATGTTTCTTGAAAACATTACCCACTGTAGTATGTGACGTGTGAATAAACTCCAACTCCGTATCAACAACACTGTTGTGTAACTTCAGTTGAATACTTGTATGTGTGTAGATTAGAAAGAGGTAAGATAAAGGATCTGCAGTATTTTATGAAGTATTCATCGTACAAAGGTCAGTTTTATACAAGTAGAAGTGTGTATTTACCTGGTAGTAGGCTGTCAGTAACTACGCCTCTTTATTTGGACTGGTAGATCTCGGCAGACCGGCAACTTTAAAAGTAGCTCTCGGTTAAAAAAAGGTTGGGCACCCCTGCTGTAGCCTTATGTAATCTTCCAATCCACATGAATTCTTGACCTCCTCAATGAGCTCTTCCATTGAGTTGGGAATCCCATTTTGAAGCTCCAGTCTGACGCTGTTGTGGTCGTTCAAGATGATCAGCAATCGAACAGGTGGTTCAATATCAGCCATGGCGCTCTAAGAGAAAAATAGAAATAGAGATGTGAAGAGGGAATTAATGAAATGCAGGTGTACACTCAATACATTCTTTCTTTTCAAATTGCATTGTGTTGTACTTTACAAAGTATTACATACACAGTTCATATATATATATATATATATATTAGGGCTGTCAAACAATTACATCAGCTTAAAAATTAATTAATCATGATTAATCACCATTCGAACTATGTCCAAAATATGTCATTTATTTATGTATATTGTTGTGGGAATGGAAAGATAAATGAAAGAAGGCGGATATATCCATTTAACATACATGCATGTATGTTTATTATAACATTGTTCTGTGTGTCAAAATGAAAGACAGCCCACTAAAATTCGTTACTCAAAGCCTATACTTTATTTTAGGACAGTGGTCAACATTTTGGTGATGTAAAAATATATAACACGATGTTGTAAACTAAAGTTACATTTACAATATCTTTATCAATTGAACTTGAAAATTAAAATATAAGTCGCTCGTCAATATGAAATTAACACACTTACTCTGTCCTTAAATTAACGTTTAACACCAGAATTTCTACTCCTGGTAATAAATACAAATTCATAGTCTTATCTATTTATTTACAATAGAAAACACGCAGCCCGCCTGTTCATACTGTTTACAGGCCACCAAGCCTCAGTTAAGAAAAGGTAAAGTTAATATACTTAATGTTTGTCTGAGTATATTTACCTTTGAATCTGGCCATGACACATGCTGGTAGACCGCTAACGCTAGCATGCTTTATTCAGACATTGACTTTAGCCTTTAGTCAGGGGCGGACTGGGACACAAATTCAGCCCGGGACGTTCAGACGCACCGGCCCACACACCGGGCCGCCGCCCACGCATGCGGGCCACCCTTGTAGCCTACAGATAAATGAATGATACATCTACTATGCTCATATACTGTATACTGTTATGGCTAGATTCCCCAGAGTCAAGCCATAACATAAAAGAGATGGACAACAGAAGTAAGGTGCAAAATGAAACCTTCCTTTAGTTAAGGTTTCTTAAAAATGTCTGTGTGATGTGTGAAGTGTGTCAAAGGGGCTGACTGTAGGAGTCAGTAACGTGAATGTACAATTGGGATTAAGGACAAAGTATGGGTATAGTCAAAAATGGTTGCCTGTGCCTGGCTGTAAACAAAAAGAAGTGCCAATGCACATGCAGCTCAGATATTCAATCAATGCCATGTGATCTAACCAACAAATGATTCTAATAGTCATTATGAGAGCACTTGTCCAGTATTAAATAACCAACTTCAAGGAATACAATATCATGCACAGTCATGTCAATCACTAAAATGAATGCAATAGTGAATTGGCCACACATCTCTGTGTCCTTATTATGCAATATTAATATTATTGAATATTAATATTATTTAATATAATTATTTAAAATTATAATACTAATATTATATAATTTAACTTGGAATATCATGAGCATATGACTCTATCCTAATGCATCTAACTGTATGCCCAATATAATAGTCTGGCCAGCCCTGCAGCCCGTTCTAGGTTCTGATTGGCTCTCTAGGTTAGCATTCTAGCTTCTGACTGGCTGTCCAGGTTGTCAATCACAGCCGTGGGCATATTATACTAGTCGTAACATCGCTAAACTTTTTTCTTGACGATTTTCTCAGTCAACTAATGCTATTGCTAACAGTAACATAAATTAACACAGCCCTGCACACTGCACCTGCTGTCATTATATGCCGGGTCTGTGGTTCATCATCTTCCTTCTCATTCTCCTCCTTATTACTGCGACTGGGAGCGGGAGCCCTTCTACTAAACAGCTCTGTGATTTTCGAAAATGTTCCAGCATCTTCGTGTAGCAATTTTGTTTTTTTCATTCTGGCTTTTTCAGCCCCACCCTTTCTTTTTTTACTGTTCTCCATCTTGTCTTTCTCAATTTCGCTAGCTAACTTACTGATCAATCATCAAACGAAGCTAGGGAGCTTGTCTGATGAGTGGACCTCTGACGCGGGCCTCGCCCTCTTTCCAATTGGAAGAGACGACTCATCTCTCCCGGCCCAACCCCTTCAGTTCATCCATTAGCCTACTTTCGAAAACATAAGATTGACAAGTTTGACAACCTATCAATAGCACCGTTTACATAGAATGCTTTTCCGATCGTATCCGATCACTAAATAAAGCGATCCACGTTCACTACACGGG